ACGTGGACGACAGACTGGCGATGATCGTGCAGCAGCACGTTCGGATCTTACGGTGAGTCGCTTCTTCGAGAGATATTCCTGTTTCGGTGTTTCTCGTCCTCGATGTATTTACTGTCATCATTGTAATCATGTAATAATAAGTTAATCGCGCTTGCGATTACACTGTTTTAATGAAATTGCATCTTCGAATCGAATTCTCTTCCAGTTTCATATCGCTAACGGACAGGATGTTGCGCGAAATATCTGTCGTGGAAATTGTAGGATGTACGTTAAACATGTGTTTTCTCGGATATTATACTATCACATTGGTATGCATTTCATATGGAAAGCACGTGCTGCAAAGCGCACCGTTTTGCTTCAAGTATGCCGGAGATCGACATGTACACGATTCATGATGACGCGTTTGCAACGGTATGTGCGAAATGTAAGGATATTTATATTGCAGGAATGGGGAAGTGTAGAGATCGCCGCATACGTAACGTATATTACTCTGCTCCTATCCTTCACGTTCAATATCTTCATATTTTGTTACATCGGCGAGCTTATTATCGAACAGGTATAACGCTTATCGTCGAAGTGTTTGTCCGCACTTTTAATATACACCAAATGTGTGATAAATTAACTTACGATTATATCTCTAAAGTGATTAAAACACTCTTCCCAACTTTGAATGCACTTTTACACCGAAAGAAACTTTTATCGTCGTAATTATTGTGTTTGACGTGACATAATTAACCCAAAAAGATCTTATGAACAGTGCAAAAAAATCGGCGAAGTGTCATACATGATCGATTGGTATCGACTACCAGGAAGAAAGGGTCTTGTCCTCGTATTGATGATAGCTATGTCGAATTCATCCACCAAACTCACCGCCGGAAATTTCTTCGAGTTGTCCCTCAGTACTTTCGGTGACGTGAGTTGCAGAAAATGACGTTGTTAAATATTTGGTTAACATCCGGATGACTTACGTGAGGTTCTTCCAACCGACAGGTGGTTAGGACATCTGTGGCCTACTTGAACATGTTACGCACATTAACTTCATAAAATTTCTCCGTAATATGCGAATTATATTATAAATCATTATACTAATTGTTCGGGAATAAATGTTAATTAATTAACTTTCTTCATGTCAAGTGAAAGGAAAAGAAATAACTGAATATAATAGGAGAGGAAAGAGTGAAGTATAATAAATAGAAATCTTTCTATTTATATACAGAGTGTTTTTTAAGTACCCAGCTATATTTAAGGGAGCGATTCTTTGGATTATTTCAAGTAAAAAGATTTATATAAACATGTGTCCTAAACAGCTTAGTTTCCGAAATAGCGGGTGTTGAAGCTTTCAGGGAAATGTAAATGTCACACAGGCTTTAGAATATCTTATTGAAACTTGGTGTAAACATATAACACTGCGACGATGCATTCCCCCCGGCAAACACCGCGGCCGACCGACCATCCG